ATGCTGCTGATGATGACGATACTGATGATGATGACGGTGATGATCATACTGATGATCATGCTGCTGATGATGACGATGACGACCAGCATAATGACAATGGTGCTTGTGGTGAAGATGAGATGACGGAGATGCTGGTGCTGTGGTTGATGGTGTTGATGTTGCTGGTGCTGCTGCTGCTGATGATGATGGTGATGGTGGTGATGATGATTGTGATGCTGATAGCGACGGTGCTGATGGAGATGATGCTGACGCTGCTGATGATGATGATGCTGCTGATGATGATGCTGCTGATGGTGATCATGATGACGATGATGCTGATTATGCCGATGATGATGTTGTTGCTGATGATGTGGATTCTGATTATTATGATGATGGTTATAATGATGTTGATGATGCTGATGCTGCTGCTGATGATGGTGATGATGCTGGTGATACTGATGGTGCTGCTGAGGATGAGGATGAGGAGAATGATGAGGATGAGGATGAGGATGCGTACTCATATGATGATGCTGCTGCTGCTGAAGTGGAGGAGGCGGAGGAGGAGGAGGAGGAGGAGGAGGAGGAGGAGGAGGAGGAGGAGGGAGGGTCGAGGAGAAGGAGAGGAATGATCAGGAGCAGGAGGAGGAGCAGGCCGAGCAGCCCCTTGCCGCTGCTTGCAGGGTCGCCCGCCTTCTCCTGCCGCTGCCGCTGCCGCAGCCTGGCGCCGGGCGCCCTGGCGACGAGCCAGAGGGGGGGTGCCAGCGCCCTTCCCGCCTGGGCCCGGCTCGCCCACGAACTTCGCCCCAGGGTGCAACAGACGCCCACGCGAAGGCTCCTCCTGCTCCTCCTCCTGCTCCTCCTGTTCCTCCTCCTCCTCCTCTCGCTCCTCCTGGCTTGATCAACAACATCTGTTTGGCCTGGCGGAGCGCTAGCGCCAGCGAGGACCAGGCTAGGCTCGGCTCAAGCGGAGGGCCGCACGCTGGCGCTTGGCAGCAGGCTACGGCCGGGACAGCCGCGCAGCGCCTGAGCGACTCCTTGGCTACTGCTTCACAGCGAGCCCGCGCAGTTCGGCCAGGACCTGGTACCGCCTGGCGCCTCTTGCACCAACCGCGCCCGCACTGGCCCGCGCGCGTGCCGGGTGTGCGGGGAACACCTTTGCAGCAGGGCCTACCACGCTTTTCGGTGTCCTTGCGGCGGGGGCGTCGAGTCCCGCAGCAAGGATGTCGACGCTGTGTCGCAGCGTATTCACAGCGAGTGCGGCTACCACACAGGCCGACAGGTCCATGTCCCAGGGTGGGACCGCTGGGACTGGAGCTGTCAGACTTGCGACGCCCGCGGCACAGGCCGCCAGCAGCATGGCGCCTACGGCAGCTGCGGCCAAGCAGTCGGCGCGCGTCGAGAGGAAACCATCCTCGACATAGAAGCGCAGCGCACCGACTGCCCGCGTCCGTCACACTCCGGTGCGCGGTGCCGGGAGACGCAGAATTCTTGGCCGCGGGCGCAAGCCGAGACGGCGCTATCAACGCAGACGCAGAAACCGACAAGTGGCAACGGTATCCTGCAGGTCGCTGCCCTTGGTCGGTGTTGCTGCTTGCATCCGAGACAGGAGGGCGCCACGGCAAGGCCGCCTTCTGCCACCTCCGCCAGTCGGCCGGGGACGAGGCCCAGTTGGCAGACGAGGACAGGGCGGAGGCGGTCATTAGCGCTCCGATGCAGCGTCGGGGTGCTGAGCAGCCTGTGGTGCTCCACCGATCGACAGCCCGGGAGCTGCGCACGGGTCTCGTGGGGGGAACCGCGCGGAAGGCGCGGCCGCTTTCCGGGAGACGATGGCAATTTGAGGTGGTGTAGAGTTTGTTGCAGACCCGTCGGTTAAGGGTGGTCCCCTGGGTGCTGGTGGGGGCGCCACACCCGCGACCAGCAAGCAGGAGGAAGAGAAGGAGGAGGAGGAGGAGGAGGAGGAGGAGAAGGTAGAAGGTAGGAGGTGGAGGAGGAGGTGGAGCAAGGACGCTTAGAAGAAGGAGGAGGAGGATAAGCTTGATAAGGAGGCAGAACCGTGGCCACGAAGGGGTCCGAAACAGGCCAAGTACGTCAAACACCATCGCCTTTGCGTATCTGCTATGGGAAAACTCTTGACGCTTCGCGTGTCCCTACCAGCGGGATGTCTGCGCCAGTCTTTGGCGTCTTATTTGGGTCTTTTTGTCCCTTGCATGTGCATTCGCCGCTGCGGCCAATTATCTACGTTTCGCGCCCCGTTCGTTGCCCCGCTTCTTGACCTTCGCCAGGGAGCCACCGACCAAAAAAGTGTCCCTACCAGCCCATCCCAAAACGGACGCCAGAGGAGTTGCCCTGATCAGGGATGTGCAGCGGCAGGCGGTGGAACAAACAGAGGGCAGCCGGTGCACCTGGAAAGAGAAGAAGGACGAAGGAGGGCGAAGTGCGAACCGAGGTCCAGCACTCGACGGGGCGGAAATTAGCCGAGCAGGCAGCCACAGTCCACCCCCGTTGAGACAGCAACCCGCACCCGTGTATACCTACGGGCTCGGGGAGCCCCGATTCGTTCGGGGGCCAGCACCGACAGATTTTGCGCGAGGGAGACTGGATCGTCGTCTTCCTGCTGCTTTTCCTGATCATCGTCGGCCCCCTCGTCCAGTGTCTTGCACCTGTCCTCTCTATTTTCTGCTTCTTCTCCCGTGCGTCTCTCCGCCTGAGGTGCTTGTCGGAAGCCTCATCTTGGAGGCCTCTTAGAAGTCTCTTGGGGCCCTCTTTGGGGGTCTCTCGGAGCGTCTTGCGGGGCCTCTTAGGGCCTTAGGGCCATCTCAAAAGGCGACATGGACTCACCAGTCGCCTTGAACAAAACTGTGCGCAAGCAGCGGGTACGCGCGATCATCAAATACACGGGCTTCTTGGACAGCAGATGTTGCAAGTATGCCGCGAACTTGCCAATGCTTTCGCTCCAAGGTTGTCGGGGCGGTGCTTGATGACTTTGATCGGCCTACGGGCACGCGGCCGGGATCCCGCTTTCAAGCTGCCTGTTGATTGTTTGTGGTTGTTGCTATCCTGTTGGGCTAGGGTACCATCCATCAGAGCAGGGATCACTCTTTCCAGGGCCGGCCTGGTTCGGGAGCTAAGAGGCTTACTCGAAGGGAAAAGGCATCGATTCATACGGGGGCCTCAGGGCACATTGATCAGCTATCTTGGGGTCCCAACAGTTCATCCAAGTGGCAGGTGCCGTCCGACGGATCAGGCACGACCAGCAACTGGGAGCTGGAAGTTTCGCATAGAGAGTCCCACAGGTCCAAGAGTGCACTAGGACGGAGCGACATCAGTCATGGCGTTTGTCTCCATTTGATGGCGCAGGTATATGTAGCAGGGAATCGACGACACAGCGGGCACGGAGGCAGCAACGATCCAAACAGAGTATTTCAGAGGATGGCATGCGCTGTAATGGGCGCAAGGAGACTTCATTCCACCGCTTCTGGGAATGCAGCAGTTGCCAAACACGCGAGACATGTGCCCTCGCGGACGAGTTCGCTGCCCAGGCGCAGGCAGGACGAGAAGCAGAGGAACGTTTTTGGGTACGGGGGCCGATTCCAGCTCCGTGGCTTGAGATGCCCGCGACGGTCTTCACAGGGCATTGGACGTGCAGCGGCCTCGAGTTTTTCCGAGGAAGACTGCTCTGCAATCGGCTCGGCTGGGCTGCCCGCGCGGATGCGCGTGGAGGCCCGGGAGGCAGGGGCGCGGCCCTGGGATGGGTCGGTCTCGCCGTCGCCGTCTGCGCTCCCCCCCCGTCCGGGACACGAGTTCGCAGGTGGTCGGCGCGCGGGGGGGGGGGGGCCGTCTGGGCCGATCCAGGCCGTGGCGAGGGGCGACCTCGTTTGCCCTGCCTGTTGCCGTCCGCGGTGGTCTGGGGCACATCGTGATCGTCACAGGCAGCGCTGCGTTGTGTTCGGGCTGGCACGCCGGCTGGCCCGCCACCCCTGCAGGAGAACATGCGAACCTTTTTTGGCTTTTGATGGGACGTGCGCTCCGTCGCAAGCCCCATCAGGTTTGAATTGTTGTGTTGTTTGTCCACTCCCACCAGGAGGCAGCAGACATCATTCAAGGGACAGAGCTGGCACGCTTCATCGTAGGAGGCGCTGTAGCTGACGAGTTAGCAGGTCTCGCAGCAGGTCTACTCAGAATCGAGGCTCCTGTCAGAGCCCGCGCCTACAGTATAGAGTGCGTGGCATGCCTTGTGAGGATGAGGATTCTGCTGAGCACGCTTGAAGCTCTCCAGGTGCTGGAAAAGAGCATTCGGAGCCGGGGCACCGTCTGAGGCAACCACGTCCTCGGCCTCCCGCTCCAAGGATCTGAAGCATGTTGCATTCCCAACACGAGTTAACTGAATGTGGCCGCATATGTGGCCGTTGTAAGGGGTCGGTCTCGTCGACCCCAAAGCGGCCTGCCTGGAGCCTCCGAGTTTTACCCTCACGACGGCGGATGGCGACGCTTGCGACCCCCCATCAGGGCAGCGGGTCCACGTACGGGGTGGGGTGGCCAACAGTACGCACATACTTTGGTTCCACGCTGGGCTGGGGCTTTGCTTCTGTGCCTGACAGCCTGCCAAATCAGCCCACGAGCGTACTCCCAGGAAGCGAGTCGTCGGAAGGACTGCTTGATTCGTGCCCCCCACGGTTTACGACCCAAGCTTTACAGCAAAGCCGAGCAGGCAAACCGTGCTGCGGCGGGTGAGCTGCCACTGGGCTGCCTCGGGTCCATGTTTGCGATCGCCTGAGAGAAGGCTCTACCCCTTCTCCTCCTCCTCCTCCCCCTCCTCCTCCTCCCCCTCCTCCTCCTCCCCCTCCTCCTCCTACTCCTCCTCCTCCTCCTCCTCCCCTCCTCCCCTCCTCCTCCTCCTCCTCCTCCTCCTCCTCCTCCCCCTCCTCCTCCTCCTCCTCCTCCTTCCCCTCCTCCTCCCCCTCCTCTCCGACGTCCCGCTCCGCCCCGCCCTCCCTGCGGCCGCCCCCGCTGCTCGGGGAGAGGGGCCGAACCCCGCCGTGTCTGGCCTGCTCCCGGGCCTGGTGGGGCAGAGCGACGAGGACAGCCCCGCGGCTGGCGAGAAGAGAGGGGGGGGGGAGGAGGAGGAGGGGGGGGGGGAGGGGGAGGAGAGGAGGAGGAGGAGGGAGGAGGAGGAGGAGGAGGAGGAGGAGGAGGAGGAGGAGGAGAGGAGGAGGAGGAGGAGGAGGAGGACGGAAGCGGGGTGGTGATGAGGATGATGTTGCTGCTGATGATGATGCTGCTGTTGATGACACTGATGATGATGCTGATGTTGATGAGGATGATGCTGCTGATGATGCTGCTGATGTTGATTATGATGATTGTGGTGGTGATTATGCTGCTGCTGATGATGATATTGGAGTTGGTGATGCTGATGTTTGCAGGTGATGAGGGTGATAATGACGATGAAGATGAAGATGCTGATGAGGATTATGATGATTGTGATGCTTATGATGGTGCTGATGATTATGACGATGATGGTGGTGCTGACGAGGATGATGGTGCTGCTGCTGATGATGATGCTGGTGATTCTGACGATTGTGGTGGTGGTGATGATCATGATGCTGCTGATGATGATATTGGAGTTGGTGATGCTGATGTCTGCAGGTGATGATGGTGATACTGACGATGAAGATGAAGATGCTGATGAGGATTATGCTGATTGTGATGCTTATGATGGTGCTGATGATCATGACGATGATGATGCTGATGAGGATGATGATGATGCTCATGTTTTTTTATGCGGATGACGATGATGCTGATGATGATGATGATGGTGGCGGCGATTATAATGGGCATGCAGATGATGATGACGGTGATGATGGTGGTGATGATGAGGACGATGACGATGTTGATGATGCTTATGATGATGACGATGATGCTGCTGATGATGATGATGACGATGATGCTGCTGATTATGATTGTGGTGATGCTGATGCTGATGATGCTGATGATGCTGTTGCTGCTGCTGTTGATGCTGACGATGATTGTGATGCTGATTCTGATGATGGTGATGGTGGTGGTGGTGATAAGGATTTCGGTGCTGATGATGCTGACGATGAGGAGCATGATGATGGCGATGGTCATGCTGATTGTGATGATGATGATGATGATGATCATGATGATGATGATGATGATGCTGATGATGATGATGATGATGATGATGATGATGATGATGATGATGAGTATGATGATGATGATTATGATGCTGCTGATGATGATACTGATGGAGAAAATGGAGGATGAGCACGAGGATGTGCAGCCGGGCAAGGAGGATCAGGAAGGAGGAGGACGAGGACGGGCAGCACCAGCAGGAGAGGAGGAGAGGGTTGGGGGGGGTGATGATGCTGCTGCTGATGACGATGATAATGCTGATGATGATGATGATGATGATGATGATGATGATGATGATGATGATGATGATGATGATGCTAATGATGATGATGATGATGATGATGATGATGATGATGATGATGATGCTGATGGTGATTCTGATGATGATGCTGATGATGCTGATGACGATGATGGTATGACGACGACGACGTTGATTCTCATGATCATGAGTAGGATTCTGTTGACGGTGTTGATGATGGTGAGGAGGATGAGGAGGAAGTGGAGGAGCAGGAGAAGGTAGAGGCGGAGGAGGGGCAGGAGGAGGAGGAGGACAAGCTAGGTGCGCCCGCGCCATAAATGTCTTCCGACACTGCCCACGCATCCACTCCCATTGCGCTGGTGTACGGTTCTATCCGCAAGCGCGTGTCATAGCCGACCTGTATTTCCAAAAAGTGACCCCATCGTGTTTTTGGGCAATCGTAGAATGGGATCTGCGGACATTGGAGAGGGATTTGGAGGAGCTGGCTGCTGAGCACGAGGATGTGCAACCGGAAAAGGAGGATGAGGAAGGAGGAGGACGAGGACAGGCAGCATCAGCAGGAGAGCAGGAGAGGGATGGGGAGAGTGATGATGTTGCTGCTGATGGCGATGCTGCTGTTGATGATGATGCTGATGATGATGCTGATAATGCTGATGATGCTGCTGATGATGATGCGGATGATGAAGCTGATGATGATGCTGATAATGCTGATGATGCTGATGATGATGCTGATGATGATGCTGACGCTGGTGATGATGCTGCTGCTGCTGCTGATGATGATGATGATGATGATGATAATGATAATGATGATGATGCTGATGATGATGATGCTGATGCTGATGATGATGATGATGATGATGGCGGTGACGACGATGATAATGATGCTGATAACGATGTTGACGGTGGAGATGATGATGGTGGTGTCGGGGGTGAATATGTTGCGTATGATGATGATTATGGTTACGATCCTGATGACGCTAATGACTGCTGGTGGTGATGGTGATGCTGATGGCGACCATGATGGTGATCACGCTGCTGCTGATGATGCTGCTGACGATGATGGTAATGATGATGGTCATGCTGATGAGTATGGTTGTGATGATGCTCATGATGATGCTGACGATGCTGCTGCTGATGATGATGCTGCTGATGATGATGATGATGACGATGCCGCCGCTGCCGACGACGATGAAGATGCTGATGACGATGATGAGTTTGATGATGTTGACGATGATGCTGATGATGCTGATGCTGATGATGATGCTGATGCTGCTGATGATGATGAGGATGATGCTAATGATGATGAGGATGAGGATGAGGATGCTGCTTGTAGTGATGATGACGAGACTGATGATGATGGTGATGTTGATGATGCTGATGCTGCTGCTGCTGCTAAGGATGATGGTGCGGAGGGGGAGGAGAATGATACGGAGGAGGTGGAGAAGGGAGGAGACGGACCGGGGAGGAGGAACAGGAGGAGGAGGAGGAGGAGGAGGAGGAGGAGGAGGAGGAGGAGGAGGAGTAAGAAGAGTTGGACCAGCTAGGTGCGCCTGCGCCATATGTGACATCCTACCTCTCCCACCCATCCCTTCCCATTGTTCTGATATTTCTCTCTATGTCCGTCGACGTGTGTCATGGCCAACCTGGAACTCCGACAAACAACCCATCCTGTTCTGCGCAATCTGAAATAAGGGTGCTGCGGACATTAGAGGGGGAGGAGGAGGCGGAGGAGGAGGACGAGGATGAGTTGGCGGACGAGCAGAAGGACGAGCAGGGGGAATCGGATGATCAGGAAGGAGGAGGACGAGGACGGACAGCAGCAGCATGATGAGGGGGAGGGGTGTGTGTGTCATGCTGCTAATGCTGATGATGACGATGATGATGATGGCGCTGATGCTGATGACGACGAGGATGACAATGATGATGACGATGCTGATGGTGGTAATGATGATGAGGACGAGGATGAAGCTGACGATGATGATGCTGATGACGATGATGAGTTTGATGATGTTGACGATGATGCTGATGATGCTGATGATGATGCTGATGCTGATGCTGCTGATGATGATGAGGATGATGCTATTGATGATGAGGACGAGGATGAGGATGCTGCTTGTAGTGATGATGACGAGACTGATGATGATGGTGATGTTGATGATGTTGATGCTGCTGCTGCTGCTAAGGATGATGGTGCGGAGGGGGAGGAGAATGATACGGAGGAGGTGGAGAAGGGAGGAGACGGACCGGGGAGGAGGAACAGGAGGAGGAGGAGGAGAAGGAAGAGGAGTCAGAAGAGTTGGACCAGCTAGGTGCGCCTGCGCCATATGTGACATCCTACCTCTCCCACCCATCCCTTCCCATTGTTCTGATATTTCTCTCTATGTCCGTCGACGTGTGTCATGGCTAACCTGGAACTCCGACAAACAACCCATCCTGTTCTGCGCAATCTGAAATAAGGGTGCTGCGGACATTAGAGGGGGAGGAGGAGGCGGAGGAGGAGGAGGACGAGGACGAGTTGGCGGACGAGCAGAAGGACGAGCAGGGGGAATCGGATGATCAGGAAGGAGGAGGACGAGGACGGACAGCAGCAGCATGATGAGGGGGAGGGGTGTGTGTGTGTGTCATGCTGCTAATGCTGATGATGACGACGATGATGATGATGATGCTGATGCTGATGACGACGACGAGGATGACAATGATGATGACGATGCTGATGGTGGTAATGATGATGAGGACGAGGATGAAGCTGACGATGATGGTGATGATGATGATGATGCTGTTGGTGGTGGTGATGGCAGTGGTGCTGATGCGTTTGAGTGTTATGCTGATGATGCTGATGATGCTGATGCGACTGACGACGGTGCTTACGATGATGACGATGCTGATGATGCCCATTACGAGGACGATGCGATGCTGCTGCTGATGATGATGATGATGATGCCGACGTTGATGGCTATGCGTGTAGTGGTGATGACGATGGTGCCGCTGATGATGGTGATGATGATGATGCTGATGATGATGATGATGATGATGATGATGATGATGATGATGATGATGGCGGCAACGATGATAACGATGACAATGATGATGGTGAGATCGATGCTGCGGCTGATACTGATGTTGGTGATGATATTGATGCTGCTGATAATGATGCTGATGCTGCTGCTGCTGATGATGATGATGATGATGAGGATGAGGATGATGCTAAGTATTACGATGCTTATGAGGATCATACTGATTGTGATGATGATGCTGATGATGCCGATGCTTACGATGCTGATTACGATGATGACGAGGCTGATGATGCCGATGGCGATGCTGATGCTGATGATGATGATGATTATGTTGCTGATGAAGATGCTGATGATGCTGATGATTCCGATGCTGATGATGATGCGGATGTCGCTGATGATGATGCTGATGGTGATGCTGCTGGTAATGATGATATTGTTGATGCTGATGATGCTGATGATGATGCTGATGCTGATGGTGGTGATGTTGATGCCGCGGATGCTGATGCTGATGCTGATGATGATGATGATGCTGCTGATGCTGATGCTGCTGATGTTGGTGCAGATGCTGATGCGGATGATGCTGCTGACGATGCTGATGTTGATGCATATGATAATGCTGATGAAGATGATCATGCTGCTGACGACGAACATGCTGATGATGATGACGACGATGCAGGAGGAGGAAGTGGTGGATCAGCAGGAGGATGATAAGGAGGAAACGGAGGGGGAGTTGGGGGAAGGAGGAGGACGAGGACGGACAACAGCAGCAGGAGTTGGAGTGGAAGGAGCGGGAGGAGCAGGAGGACCAGGGGGAGGCGGAGGAGGGGAAAAGAGGAGGACAGCAACAATGAGGAAGGACTCGGATCCAGAAAAGTGGCCCGTGCTGGGGCGAGAACGCCATTGTGAAAGACGGGAAGAGAGCGCCGATCCTAAAATGAGGTCCGCGCTGTAGCGGCAGCCCCATAGTGGAGGTCCGAAAAAGACCGGATGGCAAACACAAGCATAGGACATACAAATGTTTCAAGTCCTTTGCCAAGCAGTAGGCGCAGAGGGCGGGACAACTCCGCACCGAGTCAAGGGAGAAGGGAGAGTAGCACTCATATGGTGAAATTCTGGAGGAGGGGGAGGAGGTGGCGGTGGAGAAGGAGAAGAAGGAGGTAAAGCAGGAGGAGGAGGAGGTGGAGAAGGAGGATTAGGAGGAGGAGGAGGATGAGGAAAGGGAGTAGGAGGAGGAGAAAGGAGGAGGAGGAGGAGGAGAAGGAAAAGGGAGGAGGAGAAGGAGGAAAAGGGAGGAGGGTCGGGCGCAGGCAGGTCGTACCAGTCAAGCTGAGCTGGTGGTAACTATCCTCTGCGTGGGATTGCGCTTTGGGGAAGGTGAGCGCAGACTTCCGGCGACCTCCAGAGCTCCCGACCCCTTCCCTGGGACATTTTTTCTGGGGTGTAAAGCGTTTGTTTTGACGGCCCCCAGCCCAGAAACGGCCCGCTGACGCCGAGTACTGCTTTGCGACCGCTTGCGAACCCTACTCCTTCAACGTGTGCAGTCGACGCTGGGCTATTGGACACCCGTTCACTTGGCTGCAGACACGTTTCAATTTCCGAGCCCCAGGCTGCTTCTCATTAGTTTGACCAGCAGGGGTAGAATTCACACGTGGTTGCCTACGATCAGGAGCTTTTGCATAGCGCGTCGCGGCGGCGGCCCCGGCGACACGCTATGCCTTGGGAGCGGATAGCGTGTCGCTCCGCTCCGCGGGGCGGGAGGCTGCGAAAAGCTCGGCACGTTGACGCTGGAGGACCAGTGCGTGGATAGCGTGTCGCGCCGAAGCGTGATGGGCCATGACCGGCGGGGCGACACGCCGTGCCAAGGATCCCGACCGTAATGGCTGGACGACGAGACTGCTCGAATCGTCGGGCGTTCAGGCGCGAAGCCGACCCGGCCGGGAGATCGGTCTCGGCTTCTCTTCGCGTCCCCGCCACACCCGGCGGGGCTGCCCGGGGCGGGCGCTGTGCACCCCCGGGGGCGCGAAGGAGGAGTAGGTGGGGCAGGAGGAGGAGGAGAAGGAGGAGGAGGCGCTTCTATGTGAAGGGGTGAGGGGGGAGGGGGGAGGGAGAGGAGGCCGGAGGAGGAGGAGGAGTTGAAGGAGGAGGAGGAGGATGAGGAGGAAGAGGGGCATGGATAAAGAGGGACGAAGGCGGCATGGAGGATTTGAGGAGGAGATGGTGGAGGACGAGGAGCAGGATCAGGGATGAAGAGGGACGTAGGGGGCATGGGGGGTAGTGGAGGAGGGAGAGGATATAAACGAGGATTGTGATGATGATGCTGATGCTGCTGGTGATGATTATGCTGATGATGCTGATGATGATAAGAATGCTGGTAATGATGTTGCTGCTGCTGCTGATGTTGCTGATGATGATGTTGATGATGCTGATGCTGCTGCTGATGATGCTGATGCTGGCGATGATGATGGTGATGCTGATGAACATGATGACGGTGATGATGCTGCTGATGATGATGCTGATGCTGATTATGATAAGAATGCTGGTAATGATGTTGCTGCTGCTGATGTTGCTGATGATGATGATGTTGATGATGCTGATGCTGATGATGATGCTGGCGATGATGATGGTGATGCTGATGCATATGATGATGGTAGTGCTGATGATGATGATGATGGTGATGGTGATGGTGATGGTGATGATGGTGATGGTGATGATGGTGATGGTGGTGATGATGATGATGCTGCTGATGATGATGATGATCATGATGCTCATGGTGGTTTGGATGATGATGATGCTGACGGTGATGATGCTGAGGATCATGCTGATTATGATGCTGATGATGATGATGTTGTTGTTGTTGTCGTCGTTGACATTGTCGTTGTCGCTGTTGTTTCAGTTGTAGTTGTAGTAGTAGTAGTAGTAGTAGTAGTAGTAGTAGTAGTAGTAGTAGAAGAAGAAGAAGAAGAATAAGTAGTAGTAGTAGTAGTAGTAGTAGTAGTAGTAGTAGTAGTAGTAGTAGTAGTAGTAGGAGTAGTTGTAGTTTTTTGTTGTTGTTGTTGTTGTTGTTGTTGAACATTATTACTTCTAAAGAATAATTATTGTTGGGACCCCTGGTGCGCGACCCCCCTCCAAAACCTAGGCCGCAGCTACATTTTCATCATTTTTTAGCGAAAGCTTCAGAAAAGTGAATTATTACCGGATCCGGTTGTTTTGTTGTACTCCGTTTTCCCTTGCAAAAAACACTATAAAATGAAAATTCTTGTTCTTACTTGATCAAATTGCAAGAATCCCTTGCAAAAAATAAGGTAAAGTGGACATTCGTGCGCGCAAGACGAAATCCTTCCAAAACCTTAGGTTTCGTAGCGATTTTAACATAAAAACATCAAAAACCCAATGGTTTTTTAAGAAAAAATTGTCAAAATGTCCTTCCGCGCGCGCTGTCCGAATCCCACAAAACCAATGGTTTTTCAACATTTATGTTACATGAGCTCGCGCGAGCTACTTTTTCTTGTTCTAACATAATCAAATTTCAATAATCCCTTGCAAAAAATAAGGTAAAGTGGACATTCGCGCGCGCAAGACGAAATCCTTCCAGAACCTTAGGTTTCGTAGCGATTTCAACATAAAAACATCAAAAACCCAATGGTTTTTCAAAAAAAAATGTCCAAATTTCATCCCGCGCGCGCTGTCCGACTCCCACAAAACCAATGGTTTTTCAACATTTATGTTACATGAGCTCGCGCGAGCTACTTTTTCTTGTTCTAACATAATCAAATTTCAATACTCCCTTGCAAAAAAAAGTAAAGTGGACATTCGCGCGCGCAAGACCAACAAAAAACACGACGATCTCAGGAACTTGCCCCAAAAATGTGACCAACTCCGCTCTCTCTGTCTCTCTCTCTGTCTGCTCTCTGTCTCTCTCTCTGTCTGTCTGTGTCATGTATTGTATGTCACAATTGCAGGATGCTGGGCACACGCGCGCCCCGAATAAGTGACCAAGTTCTGTGGGTGTGTACCCCACGCCAGTGTAGTAGCCACGGTCGTCCGCACGCCACGAAGTGAAGTGTCCCAACGTCATAGGGCGGGAAGCTGGGTTTGGGTGGTCGCGAAGAGTCGTTTGGATATTTGGTAGAGCTTGAACTGCCCCCCCACGAAGTGGGGGTATTGTCTCGCGTCGCATGAAAACCCTGGCACTGGTGAGAACACTGAGCGTTCGGGTAAAATGATTGTTGTTGTTGTTGTTGTTGTTGTTGTTGTTGTTATTGACGACTGTCATGGTGATGACGACTAAGGAGATGATGTTGTTCTTGCTGATACTGATGCTGATTGTGGTGGTGATGATGTTTCGGTTGTCGTCGTCGTCGTCGTCGTCGCGCGCAGAGGATCTGTCGGCGCCCGCAAGATCTGGGTACTCCGACATGGTTGCCCTGGACCTGGAGAAGCAAGCGGACCCCCGCCTCCCTGCGCGCTCCTGGCCTTGTGAGGCCCTGGGGAGGCCTGGCCCAGGGGCCGGCTCGAAGTGGCAGAGCGGGAGCGGGACGACGGGGTGGGAGGTCAGGGGCAGGAGGAGGAGGAGGAGGAGGAGGAGGAGGAGGAGGAGGAGGAGGAGGAGGAGAAGAAGGAGGAGGAAAAACGCGACAGGCTCGTTCCCCACGTTTGTCGACGTAACGTAAAAAGAGGAGGAGGAGGAGGAGGAGGAGGAGGAGGAGGAGGAGGAGGAGGAGGAGGAGGAGGAGGAGGAGAAGGAGGAGCGTCGCGGGGAGGAGCTTTTGGCACCGCGTCCATCCGCCGGCTCGGGCCCACCCTGCCCTCGGCGCGACCCGCTGGCCGCTTCGCGGGGCCCGGGCGCCCACGCATGTGCTGAGCTGTTTTGCCCATTACCAGTTTGAAGCATATCCCTATCCCTATGCTTGACATCACCTCACCTCGATGCCGATCTTAAGGATTCCCCCAGTTTTGAGGGCCTATCCCTAAGATTGTCCTCGCTTTTTGCTCGCCCATCTTAGGGATAGGGATACGTTCGAGGCTGTTTTGCCCAGCGTGCCGCCCCGCGGGGCGGCGTGGCACGCCGCCTCCGCCGGCAAGGGCAGGGCGTGTCGCTCGCCGGGGCCGCCGCCGCGACGCGCCCTCCGGGATTCCGGAGCGTGGGGCCAAGTCGGGCGTGTCCTTCTACAGGGAGAAGATCCAGAAGAAGTAAAACATAGCTGGGGGACTTTTTTTTGTTTCCTGTTGTTCATTGTTTTTGTTTTTTGTGTTAAAATGATGTTTGTTGTATTGTGTGTGTGACCATATTTGATATGTCGTCCAAAATCCGCCTGTAGGAGAACATGCCCGACCTTACCGTAGGAGGGACAGCCTCAGGGGAGGATGCATTCTCCCAGCCCAAATGCCCATTGATCGCCGACCAGGGCCTGATAGCTCCTCTGTCCAGACACGTGCGGTTTCGCTATCGATGGCATATCGCTGGTGTATTGGCGATGCATCTTCGATTCCAGGGCGATGTTTCCCCCTAGCGTTCCCCTCAGGGGGGAGAGGGGAGGAGGAAGAGGAGAGGGAGTATGATTGCGTGGAGAAGGAGAATGCGGAGGTGGAGCGGGAAGATGGGGAGGGGGAAATTCCGGGAGGAGGGCGGGGGGAGGGCGGGAGGGACCAGGAGAGAGGAAAGGATGAGAAGGGAGGGAGGGAGGGAGGGCGGAAGGGAGACAGGGAGGGAGGAGGGAGGGAAGAAAAGGAGGATGAGGACCAGTGGGAAATTCAAAATGCATCAACGATGTGACAATAACTCTACCTGCAGGTTCCCTCTGCACTGGTCCCTGCAATAATGTATTGTGATTGCCGGAATTGGTTCATCAATTGACAAGCGTTTGAGTCTCTTCAATCGTGCCAAAACACTGTTCTTGGGACTTCAACGCCGCGAGTCAACGTGGCTGTTACGATCCTAAGTCGTGCGCTATTGTTGGAACATCAGCACCGCGAATCAACGTGATTGTCGCAGCTTGACAGTCCTAAATCGTACCATAATGCCATTCCTGGGACCTGCACCATACGAATTCTTGAAACGGTTGTTCTGTTTCAGACCAGTGTTCGCGGTGCTAAGGCGAGAGCCACATGTTCAAAGGAACCGCCCTCTGTTTTTGAAGCTAGCGCAAACTTTTAAGACGAATGCGCGCGGCGTTAAGGCGAACGTCACATGTTGAAAACGGGCCGCCCTCTATTCTTGAAGTGGGTGAAGACGGTTTCGCGCGGCGCTCATTCGAGAGTCACATGTTGAACATGGGCCGCCCTACATCCTTGAAGCTGTGGCAGACTGTTAGGACTTGGCGCGGAGCCGAGAACCACTTCTGGAAACGGTCTGCCCTCCATCTTTGAAGCTGTTGCACATCTCAAACTTCAGGGTAATAAGTGGTGAGGAAGTCTCATGCCAAACGCCCGGCCCGCCCTACCGACACGTCTGGGGGCGCGACAGGGAGGAATTGCTTATAAGAGAAAGGGATGGAGGAGGAGGAGTACCAGTGTAAACCCAAGGCGCGTTGACGATGCTGCAATCAGCCCTGCGTTGAACCCTGCAGAGGACAGCCGTCTGAGACTCTTCGATTGTGCCAACACACCATCCCTGGAACTTGGACGCTGCGGAGCAACGTGACTGTTGCGTCCTGACAGTTCTAGACATGCCAGAGCACCCTGCCTTGAGCTTCAACACCTCGAATCAATGTGGCTGTCGCGTCCTGTCAATAGTAATTTTGGCCAGAATGCCGTTCCTGGGATTTCAGCCATGCGCATCTTTAAAGCTGCCGCAAACTTTGAACACGAATCATGTGCGTCGCGCTAGGGCAAGCACCACATGTTAAGGAACTGCCCTCATTGCTTGAAGCTGTGGCGCACTGGCAACATGTACGCGGCGCTGAGGCGAGAGCCACATTTCGAAAACGCTCCAGCCTTGAAGCTGGACTGCATTCTGAGATGCATGATCACATACAGTGAGAACATGTCAAGCGAAACGCCAGGCCCGCGCCTGCTCTACCGACGCGTCTGGGGGTGCAACAGGGAGGAGTGAATTATAAGACAGCGGGAGGATGGAGGAGGAGGAGGAGGAGGAGGAGGAGGAGGAGCAGAAGGAGGAGGCAGAGGGAGAGGAGTTGGAGGAGGACGAGGACGAGGACGGGGACGGGGACGAGGAGGAGGAGGAGGAGGGAAAGGATGATGATCAGGAGTAGGAGGAGGAGGAGGAGGAGGAGGAGGAGGAGGAGGAGGAGGAGGAGACGAATGCCTCGGCGAGGGCGACCGACCCAACACCACCACCTGGAAGGCTCAAACCTCCCTCGGGCTCGGTGGACCCCCCTCAGGCGGCCCCAGGCTTCGCGTGCTGGGAACCCTACGCCTGCTTGCAGGTGATGCATCCAATCGTTGATCTGGAGAACGCCTGCAGGGGTTCCTATGCGCCGAGGGCCAGGCCCTTGAGCCCTTCCCCTTGGCGAGCGTGGACATGGGCCGCCGCCGCCAACCACTGCCGCCAGCCGCCACCACTCACTTCAGAACCGCCCCCTGCTCCTCCTCGTGCGACTTCCTCCTTTTCTGTAGCATCACCATGTGTAGCCACGCAGCCGCTATCCAGGCGCCACCTGTGCAAGCCGCCAGCTATAGGGAAGGGTGGGTAACATCGGGTGGGTTGCTGTGGGAGAGACAAACGAAATCTGTGGCCACGGCCGTGGCGAATGTGGTCACTGCCCGCATTATTATCTGTAGTCATCTGTCCTCCAGCCCTGCTGTGCCAGCATCCACGCACTTTGAGCGCTCGCAACCTACACCCCCTCGTGCGACCTCTTACTTGTGGGGTGTAGCTACGCAGCCGCTATCTAGCCGCCACCTGTGCAACACGCAGCCGCCAACTAGAGGGAGGCTGGGTGTTCTCGGTTGGGTCGCGGTGGAAGAGACAAGCGCAACCTGTGGCCTATGCCGTGGCGAGTGCGGCCACTGCCAACACTCTTACGTACAGCCAGTCCTCATGCCGCACCGCGAGCCGCAGTCGCCGCTTTCAGCCTGGCCTCCAGCCCTTCCATGCTACCAGCCGCGCACTTGCTTACCTCACTCATCTCTCACCATGCCTTTCTTGTGAGCTCCTCCATCCTCCCCCTCCCTACCCCTGCCTGCGCCGTCGCCGATCTACCCCACTATCACAGTTGCCCCCATCTGCCGGCCACCGTTTGGGCGGTGCTCCGGGGATCTGCTCCAGGGGTCGCCCGGCACTGGTTTCATCAGCCCCCCGAGGGCCGACCCGCCCTGGGGAGGGGCGGGGGCAGGGCGACATCGGTACCAAACTTCACGCCATCAGCTCACCGTCTCACCGTTCGCAAGAGGAGGAGGAGGAGAAGGAGGGGGAGGAGGAGGAGGAGGAGGAGGAGGAGGAGGGGGAGGGGGAGGGGGATGATGATGATGAGATGATGATGATGATGATGATGATGATGATGATGATGATGATGATGATGATGATGATGACGATGATGCTGATGATGATGCTGATAATGATGATGACGATGATGACGATGATGATGATGATGATGATGATGATGGTGATGATGATGATGATGATAGTGGTGGTGGTGAGGAGGGGAAGGACGATGATGATACTGCTGCTGATGATAATGATGGTGGTGGAGGGGGAGGAGACTAAGCTGATGATGATGATACTGATGATGAGGATGACGGTGATGATAATGAGGAGAAGGAGGTGGGGGAGGAGGAGGGGTGAGAACGACGACGACGATAATGATGATGATGAGGATGCTGATGATGATGATTCGGATGGCGGTGCTGGTGAAAGGGATGATGCTGATTATGACGATGGTGATGATACTGTACTGGTGATGCTGATGGTGATGAGGAGGATGATGATGATGCTGATGATGATAAGCATGCTCATGATCAATATGAAGCTGATTATGCTGATGATGATGGTTCCAATGAGTAAGAGTATGAGGCAGATGATGATGATGATGATGATGATGATGCTGATGATGATGATGCTGATGCTTATGATGATGAGATGATTATGGTGATGATGCGGATGTTGATGATGACGCTGATGATGCTGTTGCTGGTGCTGTTGACGATGATGCGGATGGTGATGATGATGCTAATGCTGTTAATGATGATGGCGACGGCGATGATGCTGATGCTGTTGATGAATATGATTGTGATGAAGAGGATCATGTTGATGACGGCGTTGATGATGATGATGATGCTGTTGATTATGATGATGCCGATGATGATGCTGATGATGCTGATGATGCTGATGATGCTGATTGTGATGATTATGATGACGGTGATGGTAATGGTGACGATGATCATGATGATGTTGATGATGATGGCGATGATGGGGATGATGTTGCTGATGATGATGATGATGATGATGAATACTATGACGATGCAGATGATACTGACAATGATGCT